GAAATAGGGGATGGCATTTTTGCAGGAAGGTGGGTGGGAGGAGGTGTATTCTAGGTAGCTGTGGGAGTCGGTGGCCTTGAAACGGATATCGGTTTCTAGGTGGTTGCCGGAGATGGAGACAGAGGTCCAGGAAGGAGAGAGAGGTATCAGAGATGGTCCAGGTGAACTTAAGGTTGGGGTGGAAGGTGTTGGTGAAGTGGATGAACTGTTCGAGCTCCTCATGGGAGCACGAGGCGACGCCGATAGTCATCAATGTAATGGAGGAAGAGGTGGGGTTTAAGGCCAGTGTAGGTACGGAAGAGGGATTGTTCGACATAACCTACAAAGAGGCAGGCATAGCTTGGGCCCATGCAGGTACCCGTGGCCACCCCCTTTTGTCTGTAGGAAGTGGGAGGAATTGAAAGAGAAGTTGTTGAGGGTGAGGACGAATTCAGCTAAGCGGATGAAGGTGTCAGTGGAGGTGGACTGGTCGTGCCTGCGGGACAGGAAGAAGCGGAGAGCCTTTAGGCCATCTGCATGGGGAATGCAGGTGTAGAGGGACTGGACGTCCATGGTAAAGATGAGGTGTTGGGGACCGGGGTATTGGAAGTTCCGGAGGAGGTGGAGGGCGTGGGTGGTGTCACGGACGTAGGTCGGGAGTTCCTGGACCAAGGGGGAGAAAATGGAGTCCAGATAGGTGGAGATAAGTCTGGTGGGGCAGGAGCAGGCAGAGACAATGGGTCGACCAGGGCAGTCAGGTTTGTGGATTTAGGGAAGGAGATAGAAGCGGGCGATGCAGGGTTGGGGAACGATGAGGTTGGAGGCGGTGGGTGGGAGGTCACCTGAAGTGATGAGGTTGTGGATGGTTTGGGAGATGATGGTTTGGTGGTCGGGGGTGGGGTCATGATCAAGGGGGTGGTAGGAAGTGGTGTCGGAGAGTTGGCGCCTGGCCTCGGCGACGTAGAGGTCAGTGCGCCATACTACAACTGCGCCTTCCTTGTCCGCAGGTTTTTTGGTGAGATTGGGATTGGAGCGGAGGGCTGCATGTTCTGTGGGGGAAGAGGTTGGAGTGGGTGAGAGGGGTGGAGAGGTTGAGGCGATTGATGTCTCGACGGCAGTTGGAGACGAAGAGGTCGGGGGAGGGTCGGAAGCCTTGGGGTGGTGTCCAGGAGGAGGGGGTGTGTTGGAGGATGGAGAAGGGGTCAGTAGAGGGAGGGTTAGGCTCACAGTTGAAGTAGTAAGTGTGGAGGCGGAGGCGGTGGAAAAATTGATCTATGTCCAAACGTGACCGGTATTCGTTGATGTGTGGGTGGAGGGGGACAAAGGTGAGCCCTTTACTGAGGACTGACCGTTTGTCCTCAGTAAGGGGGAGGTCTTGGGGGGGGGGGGGGGGATGGTGAAGAATCGGCAGGGCTGAGTGTTGCTGTCTGGTTGTGGAGGCGGTGGGCGGAGTTGCGTTGGCTGTGGTGGGCGGAGTTACGTTGGCGTCAGTGGTGGGCAGAGTGCCGTCGGCGGTGGGTGGAGCAGGGTAGTGCTACCGCAGGAAGTGCTACACCTGCCCCTACACCTCCCCCCTCATCCTCATCCCAGGCCCCAAGACGACTTTCCGCATCAAGCAGATGTTCACCTGCACATCTGCTAATGTGATATACTGCATCCGCTGTTCCCGTTGTGGCCCTCTACATCGGGGAAACCAAGCGGAGGCTTGGGGACCGCTTTGCAGAACATCTATGCTCGGTTCGCACTAAACAACTGCACCTCCCAGTCACGAACCATTTCAAATCCCCCTCCCATTCCGCAGATGCCATGTCCATCCTGGGCCTCCTGCAGTGCCACAACGATGCTACCTGAAGGTTGCAGGAACAGCACCTCATATTCTCCTTGGGAACCCTGCAGCCCAATGGTATCAATGTGGATTTCACAAGCTTCATAATCTCCCCTCCCCCTACCGTATCCCAAAACCAGCCCAGCTTGTCCCCGCCTCCCTAACTTGTCCTTCCTCCCACCTATCCCCTCCTCCTACCTACTAACTTCATCCCACCCCCTTGACCTATCCGTCCTCCCTGGACTGACCTATCTCCTCCCTACCTCCCCACCTACACTCACTTTTACTGGCTTCATCCCCACCTCTCTGACCTGTCTGTCTCCTCTCCACCTATCTTCTCCTTTATCCATCTTCTATCCGCCTCCCCCTCTCTATTTATTTCAGAACCCCCTTCCCCTCCGTCATTTCTGAAGAAGGGTCTAGGCCCGAAACGTCAGCTTTCCTGCTCGGCCTGCTGTGTTCATCCAGTTCTACACCTTGTTATCTCAGATTCTCCAGCATCTGTAGTTCCTACTATCTCTGGTTTGAGTCAGTCTCCATTTCCGTGTAAGGATTAACCAAATTCATTTTCAGGCAAACAATTAGATTTTTGATAAAAGAGCAGGATTAGAAATCTGGAGACTTCCTAGAAAAGGATGGCTGTCTGAATCCTACAGTTCAGATCGTTGTCTCCTTGCAAATGAAAAACCAAAAGTAAACAAAATGTAGACACAAACAACACCGAATTATGAAAAGTAAAAGCTCAAAGTTCTTTTCAAACATATTTGTTCTTTCAACATGATCAAAAATATTACTCACAGGCAGGATAGCATAGTCATTCAGCTTATCAAGTCCATTTCAGCTGCCTGTTGAGAAGTTCAAGTCAGTCCCAACTCCTTGTTCTCTGTTACCGTGCGAGTTTATTTTCCTCAAGACCCTGATAAATTTCCTTTTGAAATGATTAATCATTTATACTCCAAACAGGGGCAAGGGTAAGGGCCAGGAAGAAAATCATGAGCACTGAGGATGCTCCTGGACTGACCCCAATTTGAGCATAACTGCCTTAATGTGAAAACAGCCCCCAAGAGCATCGATTACTAGTTCCTGATGTACCCTGTTCTCCCATGGTCCATCGTGCACCACCCTTTCAGGAAGCAAGTTCCACCTCATTACCACTCATTGTGGGAGTTGGTGAGCTCAGTTGGCTAGACGACTAGAGTATGGTGCAGAATAAAGATCAGTAGCATAAATTCAATCCCTGTTCCAGCTGTAGTTGTTCATGGCTATCTCCTCACCTTAAGCCTTACATAAGCAATTACGTCTCTCTAATGAAGAGTGATACCTGTGGTCCTGTTATGGATGAAGGCTCTTTTCAACATATTATTTCAGGTGGTTTAGCTGCTCTTTGAAGTGAAAATCGACTTATCAGATACCTTTATTTCCAGCAGACCAAGTAAACACACCATCCAGTTTCAATCAAAATGGCAATATCCAGAGCGTAACATCAATGGGATGATTTGATGAGTTAGCATGCGATAAAGGGTAAAGCTGAGTCATGATGTTGACAAACAACATAGTCATTCCTACATTTTTATGTGCAGCTGTTAACTTAAATTTTCAGGAGTCACAAGTATGTCAGAAACAAGCGTAATGCATTTTAAAATTTTCTGGTTCATTTGTCTGTAGACTTTGGTAATAAAAGTTGTTTCCGAAAGGAAAAGATCTGTTTACCTGAAAACAGTACTTTCACAAAAAAAGTACTATGTTCCAAGGGCCCCGAAATCTTCTCAGTGGAATTTAAAGTCAACACAGAACCTCAGTAATGGTGCCCATGACAGCTATAGTTGGTTGCAGTAAAAACCTCTGGTTCATTAACACCTTTTAAAGAACAAAATCTTCCATCTCAGTTAGTCTGATCAACATATAGCTTCAGACACACAGCAATGTTGTTGACTCCTTACTGCCGTGTGAAATATCGAGCAAAACACATTGTTCAAAGGCAATTGGGGGAATGTGCAGTAAATGCTGGGCTTGCCACACCCCATAAAAAAAGTCCTTAAACTTGTTGTGACAGAAAATATGATAGTCTATAGGTTTTGTGCGTGGCTGTGGAATGTTAATGAATGCATGGTAACAGAAGGGGCAATTCACATGGAACTGAAAAGGAAGTTGTGCCAATTAAGCAAAAAGCCCCTAATCAATAATTCTAAAGATTGAAAATAACCTCAAGAATTTTCCCAATTATTAGTTGACAACTGGCTGATACACACTCTAGCTTTATAACAAGGCAACAACTTTATTTGATAATGCTTTAAAAATAGATAAAATTTTGAATTTACAACTGGAGGTCTTGAAGTTTACTATTTAAAGTATAACATATACCACGATGAAACAAAAGATTTGTTTTCAATTTGTTTTTTTATTTTAAATTAAAAATTAATGTGGTGCATGTGAAAGCCAGCTGGTAAAATTTTAAATGGTTTTGCAAAGTCTGTAAATGCTTAAAAAGCCTCAGACCTCTTTCTTGTCAAATGGTTGAACAATATAAAACCGTAGAAAATCAAACAATATCAATACATGCATAAGTAGCTAATGCTACCTGGAAAATAGCAATACAGTTACTCTTAGTCCATAAGATACTGTACAGTAAAATACACGAAGCTATTTAGTACTTCTGTGGCAAAAAGCTAATAAAAATGTGAAACAGTCAAATAGGAACATGTTAAAAGATCAGACCAGCTCAAGTAAAAAGTCAGTGAATCTTAGTTTTCTTTTAAGATTATTGATACAGAAAAGTGCAACTTTTAGCTCCCAAGTGCTTACCTATAATTTACCTATAATAAAGAAACTAGATTGAACAAAAATGGTGCACAGTTTGTTTACCATAATTCTAGGAGTGGGCTGTTTAGCTTTCAAAGTTGTTTGGCAGTGCACTTAGGAGAGGACATTCATATGATCAAACTTTCTGCTTTATGGTTTTATTTGAAGTCAAGCTATTGACAAACGCTTAGTGCAAGCAATTCATTTATCATTTTAAATTAAAGCTACAGTTCCACTGAGAAAGTTTATAAAAATAAGCTGTTTTCAACATATCACAATGAAAACAAGTTGGTAGATTTTTTAAAAAAATTGTATGCATTTGGTCCAAAAGTACATCAATTAAAACAAAAAATAATTCCAGTTAAGTCAGACACATCCCTGAAATTTATGCAAATTAGTGTGATCTTACAGAATTTGTTTCTAAAAGAAAATGTTAACAATCACATTGTTGGGAAGACTACAGGAGAAAGAGAGAACAGTAGTACTTATGTTCTTAACTTGAAGGGTTCTCTGCAACACCAGACCTAAGAATTGTATGGGCAAGGCCATACAAACAAAATACTGAAAAGATTTCCCTATTCTTCATCCGTTTAAAGTACAAAAAACAAAAATCTACTTAATTACACAGAGAAACACACCTTTGCATAATTTTATGATCCATTGATAAACTCGGATGCCATGTTACAGATAATAGCTACTACAATACTGTTTCTTGAACGGGTGCTGGTTCACATCATTCACTAAACTGCAACACTATATAGGAAATAAAAATGTTTGGACCAAAATTTTTTTTTGTTTAAAATGACAATTAAGTTGTGAACTCTGAACATTGCAATAGATGGCAAGTAATGTTTACAACAGAATACTTTTTAAACAAATTTCTTTTTGCACTTTCCTACCACTCCCTTGCTGGTGTGCAAGTTACACTTTGGAGTAATTACTGGCATGGAATCAGAAGCTTAATTTGGCCAAATGGTTTGGTGAGGAGAAAATATTACTTTCAACAGCTTATTTGAAATCCATACACTGACATACAAACAGATAAGACTCCAAAGATGACTATGTTTGATTTCAGCTTAATTTTCTAATCCAAATTAGTAAGATCTAAGCTGGAATTCTTTAAGTGTGATCAAATGTAATTGTGTAGTTATAGTGGGACACAGATTTCTACTAATGTATAAGACACATTAGAGAATCCATATGAAATGAACAGAAGGTGAATATTATTAATTATATTGAGGCAGGTACCACACTAATTGAACACAATTCTATCTAAATCAGTATTGTCCAAAACAAAAATCAAGCTTGCCAAACTTGGAGAAAATCAGGCCATGTCTGCCATAATATAAAATATGCACAATATCAAATAAACGAATGTACAGTCTTCTGGAAATAGGTCTGAGGTTTTAAATTCTCAGCAATCAACACTGACACTGCGTCAGGGGAATAACTCCAAAAAGGAATGAGTTAAACAGACAGGCATTTCTGTGGCTACAGGCATAACTACAAGATGATATGCTGCCCCACCTGTAACCAGGGTCAGGGATGTCACTGAATGGCTGCAGGAAATTCTGAAAGGGGAGGCTAGTCAGAGGTTGTGGTTTGCATTGGTACTAAACGTGGGAGGAAAGAGGAATGAGATCTTGCAACAAGAATTTAGGAAGCTAATTCTGAGGAAGGTCACCGGACCCGAAACATTAGTTCTGATTTCTCTTCAGATGCTGCCAGACTGGAGCTTTTCCAGCATTTCTGTTTTTGTTTCTAACTTACAACATCTTCAGTTCTTTTGGTTTTTATTTAGGAAGCTAGGTAGTAGATTGAAATGTAGGTCCTCAAAGGCCGCAGTCTAGTTTCTGGATTACTGCCAGTGCCATATGCTGGAGAGAATAGGAATATATGGATAGACACGTGAATGCATGGCTGAAGAGTCAGTGCAGAAGAGAGGGCTTTAGATTTGGATCACTGGGTCTGTTTCTGGGGATCATGGAACGTCTACAAATCCAATGGTTACACCTGAATCACAATAGGATCAATATCTTTGCAGAGGAGCGTGTGGACTAATTTGGCAGTGGAATGGGATAGGGAGTGGAGGTGATGTACAGACAAATATAGAAGAAAAGCCAAGTCAGTGACAGAGCATGCACAGTCAAGTTAAAACACAAAGGAAGCTCGGCAAGGTCGGATGCATTTAAATACAAGGAGTCTTGTAAGACAGATGAATTGAGGGTACTGAATAACACATGGTGATATGACAGAACTGCAATAAGGAGACATGGTTGAGGTGGGCCAGGACTGACAGCTTAATATTCCTGGGTACAGAATCTTCAGACAAAACAGGGGTGTAAAAGAGGTGGTGGTATCGCAATATTTATCAAGGAGTCAATTACAGCAATAAAGGAGGGACGATAGCTTGTAAGCTCTCCATTCAGGCCGAGCGGATAGCACCCAAAATCAAAAAAGAGGCAATCATATGTTTGGGGATCTATCACATGCTCCTAACAGTCAGAAAGAGGTGCAAGGATAGACATATAGACAAATTACAGAAGTGTAAAATTAATAAAACAGTGGGAGATTTCAACTTCCCCAAATTAACTGGGATAGACAAAGTGAAAGGCTGATCGAGGGTAGGATTCTTAAAATATATCCAGAAGCACTTTTTAAAGCCAGCATGTAGAAAGTCCTAAAAGAAACAGGATCTAATTTTTCGCAAAGCAGCTGGACAAGTGGTAGAAGTGTCAGTGAGAGAGCATTTTGATGAGAGGGCTCTTAACTCCAAAATATTCAAGGTAGAAATATAAAAGGCCAAAGATGGACCACAAATAAAAAAGTTCACAACTGGGGGAAAGCTGATTTTAATATAATGAGACAGATTTTGGCTAAAGTAGACTGGGAGCAGCTACTTGTTGGAAAATCTACATCAGAGCATTTGGAGTCAAAAAGCTGACTAGAGGTGTGAATGGCGGTAGTGCAGTGGACATGATCTACAAGAATGTCGGTAACGATTTTGACAAGGATTAGCGTGGAAGACTGGGCAAGAAGGTAGAGCCCATGGAATCCAGGGCAATTGGCAAAATGGACCCAAATTTGGCTTAGAGGCAGGAGGCAGAGCGTGACGGTCAAAGGCTGCTTTTGGAAGCCGGCGTCCAGTGGTGCTTGGTCCCTTGCTGTTTATAATATGAATTCATGTCTAAATCATGAGTGTAAGGGGTCTGATCAATAAGTTTGTATGGACATGAGAATTGTAGTGTGGTAAATAGCAAGTAGGAAAGCCTGATTGTAGGGCAATAAAGATGGGCATATCTATGGCAAATGGAATTAAATCCAGAAAAAAAGTGAGATGATGCATTTTGGAAAGACTAACATGGCAAGAGAATACACAATGAATGTTAGGATCATAGGGAGGACAGAAGATCAATGAGATTCAGATTCTTGAAGGCAACAGGTCAGGTGGAGATAAAGTAGTTAAGACAACATATCAGATGCTTGCCTTTATTTGTACTGAATACAAGCACAGGAAGATGATGGATGAATGACACTAGGAAGGATGAGACTGCACTCGAAAGAGTGTGGAGGATATTCACCAGGATGTTGTCTGGGCTGGAGTGTTTCAGCTATGAAGAGAAACTACATGGGCTGGTGGTTTCTCTTAAAGCAGAGAAGGCTGAAGGGGGACTTGAATGAGGTCTATAAATTTGAGAGGTATAGACAGATGATATAGGAAGACAGTTTTCCCCCTAGTAGAAGGGTCAATAACTAGGGTTATAGATTTAAGGTAAAAGGCTTGAGGTTTAGAAGGGGCTTATGGTGGAAAAACCCATTAGCTAATCATTGTCTTGTGCTCTGACAGAGCATTAGAAGATCATCTCTTGCCATTTATGCAGTATCTAGGCATTTAGTAAAATTGACTTCTGGTCAGCTTCCAAAAACCTGTTTACCCGATTAATAATGCCCTGTTCCTTTTAACATCTCACTTCAACAAATCTATTCTCACGATGGTGTAGTACTTTAGATCTTGTTGTGTAGCCTCAGCTTGATTAAATTGCACATTTCAAACCTGTCAGCCATGTCTGCTGCAACCGCCGTGCAAAAACAACCACCGTCTAAATAAAATCAAGTTTTTCAGGTAGCAACCTTGTCACTAGATTTCCCAAGAAAGGTTCTCAGAGCAACTGGACTACTACCCTACCAAGGCCAACCCTTTAAATCACAGTGCTTCAGATCAGCCCTACGCAACATATATAGAGGGAACAAAATTCTTCAGCCAGAGGGTGGTGAATCCATGGAATTCACTGTTGCAGAAGGCTGTGGAAGCCAATTCATTGAGTATCTTTAAGGCAGAAATAAATAGGTTATTGATAGATAGTAAGGGGATTTTGGGTTACGGCGAGAAGGTAGGAGCATTGGGATGGAGACATGTATCAGCCATGATTGAATTGGGGATCAGACGTGATAGGCGGAATGGCCTAATTCTTCTACTCTCTCTCATGGTTATGGTAACCAAATAGAAGATGAGAAGGTAGACTCTTCTGGAGTTAGCGGCCTCTTCAAGTTCTAAGGTAATAGAAAACAGACAACTGAACTATACTCTGATAAACATGTGACTATTGTTTAAGAGCAACGTGGTTGATTTTTTTTTCATTAATTGGATGGATGACAAAACGTGATCAAATGACACAAAAACTCATGACTACTGCTGAAACTTTTACACAACCCAGTACTGCAAGGCTCTGTGAATGACCAGCTTCAATTCTCCACAGATAGACAGGAATGAGCCTGTCGAAAAATCAGATTCAAATGAATGCTGATGCAGAGTCTACAAGTCAGTTTCTACAATGTTGACTATTTGTCTCTCGTCCATAACTTCCTTCGGGAAGCTGATTGTTAAAGCTGAACTCTGCATTGCCCTAAACCTTCAAACTCAACATTTCAGAACAATAAACTATGGTATTCAAATACTGATGTTTGCTTGCTCATTCAAAATCTGCTAGAAAACCTGGACCAAATTCACCTTTACAACACTTTCACATATTTGACCAAGCTCTTTTTTTAAAAAACTTGAATAAACTGAAGTATCTCAATTACATGAGGTTCATTGCACAAAGATTGATAATGGAAAGATATTTTAATAAGTCAAGTGACTAAATTTGCTGTTAATAAGAATAACGATCACTGCCAATTAAAGCAAGGTTGAATTAAGTTTCCATATTGAACAACTGGTGTCACTGTATTAATCAACTGCACACATTGCCAGAGTTATAAAGAGAAAAATATTACCAAACTGAACAAACTACTCATATGTTCTCAATCATTTTATACCTTTTGCCTTGCTTTCCTCACTTAGTCAGCATCACGGAAGGGTCTTGGGGAGGCAAGAGCTTATTTCATAATTAAGATGTGCTACTCTTCAAATAGCTGACATTCCATAAGATCCAGGTCCTATGTATTTGTCCACCGGTTTGAGATAATATATTGGAATTCCAAAATTTTGTGTGCATAACTAGGGGAGGCAATGGCCTAGTAGTAATGCTGACTAGAAATCCAGAGGCCCAGATGAGTGCTCTTGGCTTTACATCTCACCAGAGAAATTGGTGGAAATTTAAATTCAAATAAAATCTGGGGAGTCGACAGCCTAGCAGTATTACCACTGGACCAATAATCCAGAGACTCGGGTAATGTTCTGGGGGCCTGGGTTTGAATGCCACCACAGCAGCTGGCGGAATTTTAATTCAATAAATATCTGGAATTAAGAGTCCAATCATGACATGAATCCATTGTCGGAAAAATCCATCTGGATCACTGATGTCCTTTGGAGAGGAAACTGCTATCATTACCTGGTCTGGTCTATATGTGACACCAGACCCACAGTAATGGTTGAATCTTAACTGCTCTCTGGGCAGTTAGGAATGGGCAATAAATAGTGCCTAGCCAGCAATGCCCCACTGTGAATGAATAAAAAAGAAAAAGCTGGCATCAATAATGGTGCCATGAAACTGCCACTGATTGTTCTGAAACCTATCTGGCTCATAAGTTTCATTTAGAGAAGGAAATTGGCCATCTTTACACAGCATGGTCTTTGTGACTTCAGATCCACTGCAGATAGAAATGGCCCAGCAAGCCACTCAATCAATTCAAAGACAATTAGGGATGGGCAACAAATGCTGAGTATCCAGGTAGAACATGGGCATTTGCAGAGTGCTAAAAATTACAGTGGTGTGCACCATACTTCCTTTCCAACTGGTGGAGATAAAGCACAACGACTCTTAGATTAAATTGTTAAAGATCATTTTTGTGGAAAATTTATATTATATTACTGGTCCACAATCTGTTCATCGTATCAAAATGTGCAAAACACTTAATGACACAATCTAATTGTTTAATCTGTTTAATTATCTTATTGGCATGACTATTCTGGAAAGAGCAAGATCCAAGGAGCATTTTAATTAAGGCATTTAGCACAGCAGCTCAATAGCTCGTTTACGTTAAAGCAGCTATTTAGCATTTTCTGTCTTTTAAGAGGTATACCAGACCCAACTTTTAATTTTCTGTACATACAACATAACTACATAATTATACAAGAGCCTTTTAATTTAACATCTTACAATTTGAGCTTATTTACTCATTTCCGTTAGATTGCATTCAAATAATACCCCAGTGCTGAGGATTTAACATTGATGTAGGCTATTAAAATGTAGACTTTTTTGGTTGAAACTCTACAAAGTGCCTCAAATCAGCCAAAAACCTGGTAATTTATATAATGGAGGAAGTTACCAGATTAGCCAGTCATATTTCTGTACAGGAATACAGCCTAGTTCAGAGCCACTACTTGAAAAAAACCCTCCAAACATTGAACCTTACCTAGCAAAGTTAAACAACTGGAGAACTGTGCCTTGCTTAAGACAACAGGAAGTAAGACATGAGCAAGCCCTGTAGGCAATTTGGAATGTTTGGACTTGATCCTACCTACCTGAAATGTGACATTTCAATTACATCAATTAGAAAAATACACACTTGAGATATATATATATATATATATATATATATAAAATATATATACACACACACACATACACACACACACACACACACACACACGCCATACTCGATTGGAAACACAGGTATGCTCGCTTTTATATAAAAACCCAGAGAAATCAACCACTGAAGGAATAACTTGTCAGTGTCAGAACCACTGGAATTACTACCTACCAGAACAATCATGCAAAGACTTTCAATGTATGGTACACATGTTCACAGTAGTAATTAAGATATACATCTTTCATATTCTGAGCAATTACATATTTAAATGACACTAATGGAGTCTGCATGCACTCTACTACACTGGTATTCAATATACAACTGCCAGGATACATGATAATCCAGACCATTAATAATCATTCCAAAAAGCAATTCTGTAGCTTACACATGATCTTCTATTATACATCATTAGTATCCCTGCATTTTGATATACATGATCCAAAAATGTTAATTACTTTATTTTCTGATGACAACAGACTATATACTGACTACTTACAATTTTCCCTCACATTAAGTACTGGTACCCTATATTCTAGAGGGCAGTTGGCAGTCAGTTTCCAGTACGGGCGTGAAGTTTTTTTTTTAAACTTGTCTATGTGCCTTTGTTACAAGGTTGAAGAAAAATGCTATATTTGTAATACACTGTTAAAAGATTGGCAACAGTCACAAATAAATATGGAGTGAAAAAATGTTCAGTTACAAACATAGCAGGTTACATTTTGTGGCGCAGCTGTAAAAATGCTGGTGGAAATGTTTGTATTTTATATTACCCCTCCTCCATTATACAGTCACTGAGTAAGCGGAAGGCTAAATGTGAGTTAATTTTCTTTGCTTTTTGATGGTCTGTGCATGAGCAAGTACATGTGTAATGCAAAATATTTACCAGATACAGTTGAAGAGGTCTAATTTGCTGAGATACCCTGAGCGGCAGTGGAAGCCTCTTAACAAACCTGTTTTAACGAAAGCAGCAAGATAAAGCCAAAGCTTTGCTTTGATTAATGCAATTTCACCGCAGACACATCCCAAAATCCATTAGAAAAGATATATTTTTGATTACTGAAAGGTGTTCGGGAAGAAAACACAAGTTTAACATAAATGCTACATCATGTTTCTAAAGAACATATTGGGCATTTTTCACTTGGTTGTAAAAACAGCAAAACATACACTAATATTGTAATTATGAATTAAGTACACCAGGGTTACAGGATATGATTATGTCTGAACATGATTAGTTTCTCAATATCAAAAGAATGCAGTATACAACATTATTCTGCCCTACCCCAGCACACTTGCACGCACGCACACACATTAAAAATAAAGAGCTATTTGGCATTTTTACTGCTTTCTCCTGAATATTCAAGGCCCTGAGATTTGATTGTTATGCTCTTGGGACCATGGAACTACAACAAACCATAGTGCATCATCATCATCATCATCATCATCATCATCATATCCCTATAATTCGCACCCAAGCTCCAGCCTCAGAAACTAGGTTTGCTTCTTAAGACATGGACCCTCCAGTTTTTCAAAACAGCAAATATTTTATCTGTTTTACTGTACTGCAATACATACATTATCTCTGGAGTATCTGTCAATGAAAGCATACCCTGTAACAGAGGTAAGCCCCAGCTGTAAGAGCAGTGAGCACACATACATTAACCATAAAAGGTTTCCAATGTGACCATGAGTTTTTCTCTTCCACCACCACTTCATCCTCTTCACTTCTTCCTGGATTCACCTGTTTACTCATCTGCGTGGGCATTGAAGCACTTTCGCCAACATGCCTCTTCCGAAGTTCTAGTTCTGAACTAAAAGAAAAGCAAAAAAACAGTTGAGAACCATGCATATTTTACATTTTACTGATGGTATCTACATCTGATATATTAAAAATTTCAATGCATGTCAAGAATTTCTCATGTTTGAATGTCAGATGGCAAAATTAGCAGGTACATTGCAATTATGAATTAAGTATCCCCAAGATACAGAATGTATCTTGGAAGATTCTACCTTTGCCAACATTAAAAGAACACACACTGCAACAGAGACAAAACTGTTTTGTTATTTTGCTTGAATACTAAAGACCTATAAACCTGAACGATATGCTATAGACCACAGGATAACGATGAATCTTTGAAAAAAAAATTTTATCCGAATGATCTCACCAATGATGTTTTTCCTTGCAATCCAGCCTCAAAACTATAAACATAGGCCCTACAACTTTACAATAATCAGCTCTACTGTACAACATATCCAAAAAAACTGTTAACATGGTGCCAATTACAGAAACCCCCTAATCTACTTTGTTGATTATCTCAATGAGTTCTACAGACAACTGCACCATAGAGTTTTATTGGTCATGTACATATTTTATCAGGTTTCTTTTCAATTACAGCCCCATGCAAAACCACCATAAAATTGGAAATGGCTGATCATTTCCGAAAACTTCCAACATGCTTCACCTCATTTTTCTAGCAACTTGCACGAGCTAAGAACCATCCCAAAGCATTTCATAACAAAAGTTCTCTTTTTGAAGTGTAGTTACTATTGTAAGACAGGAAACGTGAGCATCAGCCTAGATTTTGTGCTTTAAGTCTCCAGCGAGGGGCTTGAACTCGGAGCCTTCAAACTCAGGTGAGTCATCTACCCACTGAGGTACAGCTGGATCACTGCTCAACTTGCTTCATCAGCTACGCATTCTGAATTGAATACAGCTGTTCAAATAATTAACAATGGAACTCCATGTCAACAGAAGTGCATTTTATATATATATCTCCTCCCGTGACCCTGATCTCGAAACCGAAAGTATCTTTAGCCTGCAGAGAGAAGACTGTCACAGAACCATCTTAACAAATTATATTTGTGAAAAATATAAATAACATGCATACACACATTTCCTATTGTTCTTTACCCCCAAAACATTAGTTACAAAATTCCACAAAATTATTTAATTATGATAAATAAGCCATGGTGAGTCTACACTACCAGAACCCATCCCCAAGAGAAAGATATACAAATTAGTTTTAAAAGGTTTTGAATTTTTCACACTTTAGAAGTATAGTTAAATAATTTTGCACCAAATATGGATGCACAGTACTTGTTTTTGTGTACTGAGGGGTTTTGGAGTTAATGTTCCCTTGCATTGACTTCTACTTATGAAAGTTGCTGCCACATATGGACCTTGGAGATCTGTGCAGCAGAAAGAAACATTAAGGAAATTTAGCTGGGCGTCCAAAAAAGCACCCTAAGCACGCAAGCATGCACATTTCAATTACAAATTGTGCCAGATGCCTTAACGGTGACGGCATTAGCCCACAAGCACTGAGAATCTTCCAGAAGCAGATTGAACTCTTCATCAGTACATTATATTGATTAACGCTACAACTGCCATTCGAGGACTCAATGCTTCACATAACACTACTTTTTTTAAAAATCACAGTGAACACACATTCAGCAACGAGAACCCCAACCAATTGTATTCATATAGGGCCATCAACTTTCAGATCGGGTGCGGATTCATTTCTTCTGGCAACGTTTAATACTGATTAGTTGCTATGTCTACAACGAGTGACATGGTTGAGTGAAGGACTTACTCATGCCTTTTGCGCAAACTTGTTAATGCCAGACAGCAGAGCCAAGTAGGTAGAGAAAGCATGTAGCTTTGCAAGCTTATCCAATAGATGGCCTATTGTCCAGACTGTAGATCAAAGAACTTCAATGGAGCCCATGGCTGGTAGTCCATATGCGGCTAAGTACACTTAAAAGATTCTGCAAGGAGACACTTCTTCCAATCAAAGCATGGTTTTCTCCTGTTTGCTGCTTGTAGTCCCACTGTTTACATTATCAGCAGCAAACGTGGAAGAAAGATGGCCCTTAATTGGTAGGGCAGTGAGCTGCGCAATCATCTTGACAATGAAAGAGAGGGAGATGACTGTGTGATAACAAGGTGTAGAGCTGGATGAACACAGCAGGCCAAGCAGCATCATAAAAGAGCAGGAAGGCTGACGTTTCGGGCCTAGACCCTTCATCAGAAATGGGGGAGGGGAAGGGGGTTCCAAAATAAATAGGGAGAGAGGGGGAGGCGGATAGAAGATGGATAGAGGAGAAGATAGGTGGAGAGGAAACAAACAGGTCAAAGAGGCGGGGATGGAGCCAGTAAAGGTGGGGAGTTAGGGAGGGGATAGGTCAGTCCAGGGAGGATGGACAGGTCAAGGGGGCGGGATGAGGTTAGTAGGTAGGAAATGGGGATGCGGCTTGAGGTGGGAGGAAGAACAGGTTAGGGAGGCGGGGACGAGCTGGGCTGGTTTTGGGATGCGGTAGTGGGAGGGGAGATTTTGAAGCTTGTGAAATCCACATTGATACCATTGGGCTGCAGGGTTCCCAAGAGGAATATGAGGTGCTGCTCCTGCAACATTCGGGTGGCATCGTTGTGGCACTGCAGGAGGCCCAGGATGGACATGTCGTCTGCGGAATAGGAGGGGGGAGTTGAAAATGGTTCGCGACTGGGAGGTGCAGTTGTTTAGTGCGAACCGAGCTTAGGTGTTCTGCAAAGCGGTCCCCAAGTCTCCGCTTGGTTTCCCTGATGTAGAGGAGGCCACAACGGGAACAGCGGATGCAGTATACCACATTGGCAGATGTGGAAAGTCTTCTTGAGACCTGGTATGGGGATGAGGGGGGGGAGGTGTAGGGGCAGGTGTAGCACTTCCTGCGGTTGCAGGGAAAAGTGCCGGATGAGGTGGGGCTGGAGGGGAGTGTGGAGCGGACAAGGGAGTCACGGAGAGAGTGGTCCCTCCGGAAAGCAGATAAGGGTGGGGAGGTAAAAATGTCTTTGGCGGTGGGGTCAGATTGCAGACGGCGGAAGTGTCGGAGGATGATGCGTCGGATCCGGAGGTTGGTGGGGTAGTACGCAAGGACGAGGGGGATTCTGCTTTGGTTGTTATTGCGGGGAAGGGGTGTGAGGGATGAGCTGCGGGAAATGCAGGAGACACGGTCGAGGGCGTTCTCGACCACTGAGGGGTGGGGTGGGAGTTGCGGTCCCTGAAAAATGAGGACATCGGAGATGTACGGGAGTGGAATGCCTCATCCTGGGAGCAAATGCGGCAGAGGCGAAGGAATTGGGAATAGGGATGGCATTCGCCTCGTCTCATCCTGGGAGCAAATGCGGCAGAGGCGAAGGAATTGGGAATAGGGATGGCATTCGCCTCCGCCGCATCTGCTCCCAGGATGAGACATTCCACTCCCGTACATCTCAGATGTCCTCGTTTTTCAAGGACCGCAACTACCCCACCGCCTCCCCCCTCCACTGGTCGAGAACGCCCTCCATCGTGTCTCCTGCATTTCCCGCAACTCATCCGTCACACCCCGTCCCCGCAATAACACCCAAAAAAGAATCCCCCTCGTCCTCGCGTACCACCTCACCAATCTCCGGATCCAACACATCATCCTCCGACACTTCCGCCATGTGCAATCCGACCCCACCGCCAAAGACATTTTTCCCTCCCCGCCCTTAACTGCTTTCCGGAGGGGCCACTCTCTCCGTGACTCCCTTGTCCGCTCCACACTCCCCTCCAGCTCCACGACACCCGGCACTTTTCCCTGCAACCACAGGAAGTGCTACACCTGCCCCCACACCTCCTCCATCACCCCCATCCCAGGCCCCAAGAAGACTTTCCACATCAAGCAGATGTTCACCTGCACATCTGCTAATGTGGTATACTGCATCCGCTGTGGCCTCCTCTACATTGGGGAAACCAAGCGGAGGCTTGGGGACCGCTTTGCGGAACACCTAAGCTCGGTTCGCAATAAACAACTGCACTTCCCAGTCGCGAACCATTTCAACTCCCCCTCCCATTCCTCAGACGACATGTCCATCCTGGGCCTCCTGCAGTGCCACAACGATGCCACCCGAAGGTTGCAGGAACAGCAACTCATATTCCGCTTGGGAACCCTGCAGCCCAATGGTATCAATGTGGATTTCACAAGCTTCAAAATCTCCCCTCCCCCTACCGCATCCCAAAACCAGCTCAGCTCGTCCCTGCCTCCCTAACCTGGTCTTCCTCCCACCTCAAGCCGCACCCCCGTTTCCTACCTACTAACCTCATCCTGCCCCCTTGACCTATCCGTCCTCCCTGGACTGACCTATCTCCTCCCTAACTCCCCACCTGCACTCACCTTTACTGGCTCCATCCCTGCCTCTTTGACCTGTCTGTTTCCTCTCCACCTATCTTCTCCTCTATCCATCTTCTATCCACCTCCCCCTCTCTCCCTATTTATTTTGGAACCCCCTTCCCCTCCCCCATTTCTGATGAAGGGTCTAGGCCCGAAATGTCAGCCTTCCTGCTCCTATGATGCTGCTTGGCCTGCTGTGTTCATCCAGCTCTACACCTTGTTATCTCAGATTCTCCAGCAACTGCAGATCCTACTATTTCTGAGATGACTGTGTGCCTGGTATCCTCGTAGCCATTATGCCTTCATAGGGGCATCACAGCCACACCCAATTTTATTACCCACTGTTGGCACACAACTATATTTCTAAAGGGTCTGCTGAATAATAATCCAGAGCACGTGCAGGACAAATGTTTCCCCTTTCTTAACTTTATCCTTACAACCAATTGGAGTGCACCTTTCATTGTGACACCAGAATCAGTACAGGTTGAGCATGCAACTTGCATATGCCTTGGTCAGCATGATTCATTTACACACTGGATAAATATATTGGAGCATTAGGAATAAGGCTAAGTAAACTTTCAACCTTTGTCTTGATTCTGTCATGGGATTTGACATTGCACACAAGGCATTTGTTGATCATCCAGAATTGCAGGAGAACTGTGTGGCTCACTAAGCCATTTAAGAGTCATCCACATCGCTATTGGTCTCGAGTTAAATGTAGGTCACAACAGCTAAGGATGGCAGATTTTATCCCCTAAAAAGAACATTTCGCACCAGATGGTTTTCACAAATGACTGCTTCATGGCTATTGTTACTGAGACTAGCTTTACACTGTAGATTTATTAATTGCATTTTAATTTCTATTTGTTATTGTGGGATTTGACCCCATGCTGCCAAAGCATTAGTCTTGACCCCTAGATTACTAGTCATCTGACATCACCACTATACCACTATCTGACCACTGTAGCAACTGCCTGAAGCAATTTTTATAATTAGATGAGTAAAAAGAATAGATGAGTAGAAAGAAGAGACACATGGATTTTTTTAAAACCTCACTTCAAGCTGCTGCTGATTAATCACACCAAGACCCTATGGCCACCACAAAACAATAGCAAATCCTACAATTTTTGGTTAATGATAAATATGCAAAAGGATTTTGTACAGTCATGCCAATCCCAATTTAAGGCAGCTGCAGCCTGAGCTAAAATTATCCTTGAAAAATAAAAAGTAAATTACTTACTTTCTCAGGTGGAATAAGAAGTTCAAATTTTGATTTAAGAAAGCTGTATTAAAGATTAAATCATTTTCCTTTTATTTACTGAATGCATCGACTTTTATGTTACGAGTCAAATACAATATATAGCTTTACTAACTTTCAAAAATATAATTGCCTACAGCTTAACTTGAGCCAAGATTTTCAAACAACACTGTTGCAATGGAGAGTTGTTGATTCATGATTGGCTAAATCTAAAGTGGTTAGTTAGTATTTTCAAAAACACCTTTCAGGAAGTTCCTTTTTATTTAGCGCTAATGTAATATGTATCATGAAATTTAAACATCTTTCTACTGAAAACACTAGCTTTCAAGTTTAACAATGGAAATGTCAGAATGCATTCAAACATACAATAATGACTTAAGGAAAATAAAAACATACCCACTTCAATAATTTTAAAATTGTTTTAAACCGGTCTGAGTAGATTAGCTTTTCCAAATACCTTTCTGGTCTTGAACTGCTAAGTTGATTCATTATACCATCATGACTTTCTTCCTGTTTCTTCTCACAGGTTCTTTCATTTGGTTCAGTAAAGGACATTCTATGATCCGGTGCTTTACCATTCGGTGTCTCAGTTGTCCTTTTTGGAGGCCGTGGGGGTGGAGGACTATGCTCTGGAGGTGGGTCAAGATCTTCATTTGATAGCTCTTTCCACTGTTCCTTAAATTAAGAACACAAGATTTTAAAAAGGTAATCAAAACTGGTTTTAAGAAAGGTAATCATTCAATTAATTTTCACTCTCCATCTCACGTTCGATACAATCCAACCATGCTTAGAGTCAGAGATGCACAGCACACAAAAGAGACCCTTCGGTCCATGACGACCAGCTATCCTAAAGAAATCTAGTCCCATTTCCCAGCATTTGGCCCATATCCCGCTAAACCCTTCCTATTCTTATATCTATCCAGATGCCTTTTAAATGTTGTAATTGTACCAGCCTCCGCCACCACCTCTAGCAGGTCATTCCATACATGCAACACTACTTGCATGAAAAAGTTGCCCCTCAAGTCCCTTTTAAATCTTTCCCCTCTCACTGTAAACCTACGCCCTCTAGTTCTGGACTCCCCTACCCTGGGGAAAAGGCCTTGTCTATTCACGCTATCCGTGCCCTTCATGATTTTATAAGCTTCTTTAAAGTCACCTCTCAGCCGCAGTTTAAATGTGGATAGCTGGCTGCAAGAGAATAGGAACAACACAGTTCAGCATAATCCTGTGCTACCCAAATATCTACAGGCACAGACTTTCTGTGAGGATGAGATCACTGCGCAGGGATCAGATGCAGAAGCAGTTGATATTTCTCTTCAATACAGAAAGCTAATTTTAGTCGTTCCACTAATAGCTCAACAGAGACCAGCTAACTGAACAATCTCTAGGAATTAAACTCAGGACCTTCCTGTTCTGCAGGCTCCATCCACACCACAGATAACTAACCTACAGTCTATCTAAACAGTTTTCAGTCACTCACTCATCTTGTAGTTAAATAGAATACTGACACTGTACCATATCAATATTACCCCAGGCTCAGATCAGTACACTCCACAAAACCAAAATGAATGCTCCATTTCCTATGCCAACCATTACTATACCTCAAGTGAGTCTGTTATATTAGATGCAATTCTTGTCAAGTTATGGACATTGTGCTTCACAGAGCTACTGAGGAAAATAGTTGAACTGTTCAAATTCTTGTTTTAAGAACTGTTGAAGGGAGAAAGAAAAAAAAAAAAAGTATGATAATTCCATACTCTAGTTGGAACTGAAACCACTTGACGGGTCTTCACTTCCATATCACAGAAGGAAGTGCTGACAGAGGCTTGCTACTACTTTTACTAAATAAGATAGCTTCATAAAAAAGAGTGTTTTTTTCATTTGCTGGACGTGGGTGTCGCTAGCTGGCCAGCATTTATTACCCATCCCTAATTGGTGGTGGTAAGTTGCGTTCTTGAACCACTGCAGTCCACCTGCTGTGGATTGATCCACAATGCCCTTACGAAGGGAATTCCAGGATTTTGATCCAGCGACAGTGAAGAAACAGCAATATATTTCCAAGTCAAGATGTTGAGTGGCTTGGAGAGGAACTTGAAGGTGGTGGTGTTCCCATGTATCTGCTGCTCTTGTCCTTCTAGATGGACGTGGTCGTGGATTCAGAAGGTGCTGTCTGAGGCTATTTGGTGAATTCCTGGGTTGTATCTTGTAGATAGTACACACTGCTGCTGAGCATCAGTGGTGGAGGAGGGAGTGAATGTTGCGGTTATAGTGCCAATCAAGTGGCTGCTTTGTCCTGAATGGTGTCAAGCTTCTGCAGTGTTGTTGGGGCTACTTTCATCCAGGCAAGTGGGGAGTATTCTATCACATTCCTGGCTTTCCCCAAAGCCTGTCCACTAGATACAAGGCATGATTCAGGAGTTACTCGTCACAGTATTCCGAACTTCTGGCCTGCTCTTGTTACCACTATGTTTATGTAGAGTCCAGGTGAGTTTCTGATTAATGATAATGCCCCAGGACATCGATTAAGTTGGGGAGGGGGTGTGATGGTGGCTTTTCAGTGATGGTAACACCACTTAATGTCAAGGGGCAGTAGTTAGATTGTCTTTTATTGGTGGATGGTCATCGCCTGACATTTATGTGATGTGAGTATTACTTGCCATTTCTCAGCTCAAGCCTGGATATTGGCCAGATCTTGTTGCATTTGAACATGGACTGCTTCAGTATCGGAGGAATCACAAATGGTGCTGAACACTGTGCAATCATTGGCGAACATCCCCAATGTGACTTCATGATGGAGGGAAGGTCACTGATGAAGCAGCTGAAGATGGTTGGGCCTAAAACACTGCCCTGAGGATCTCCTGCACAGATGTCCTGGAGCTGAGACGACTGACCTCCAATAACCACAACCAGCTTGCTACGTGTCAGGGATGACTCCAACCAGACTGTTTGCCCGATACCTATTGATTCCATTTTTGCTAGGGTTCCTTGATGTTACACTTTATCAAATTCAGCCTTGATGTCAAGGGCTGTTATTCTCACCTCACCTCTTGAATTCGGGTGTTTTATCCATGTTTGAACCAAGGCTGTAATGAGGTAAGGGGCTGAATGGCCCTGGCAGAACCTAAACTAGGCATCACTCAGCAGGTTACTGCTGAGCAAGTGCTACTTGAAAGCACTGTCGATGGCACCTTCCAACACTTTACTGATGATTGAGAGTAGCCTGATGGGTTGGTAATTGACAGGGTTGGATTTGTCCTGCTTTTTAAATGTTCAGAATATACTTGTACATTTTCCACATTGTTGGGTAGATGTCAGTATTGTAACTATACTGGAAGAGCTTGGCTCGGGGAGCAGCAAGTTCTGCAGCATAAGTCTTCAGTACTATTGTCAGAATGTTGTCAGGGTCCATAGCCTTTGCAGTATTCAAGGTCTTCAATGATTTCTTGATATCACATGGAGTGAATCGAACTGATTGAACTGGTATCTGTAATGCTAAGGAAGCAGAGGTGGATCATCCACATGACACTTCTGGCTGAAGATTGCTGCGAAAGCTTCAACTTTATCTTTTGCACTCATGTGCTGGGCTCTTCTATCATTGAGGATGGGGATATTTGTGGAGCCTACTCCTTCAGTGAGGTGTTCATTCACCGCTATTCATGATTGCAGTCCTGCCATTTCCAGAGCTTAGATCTGATCCTTTGGTTGTGGGATCGCTTGCTGCTTATGGTATTTAGCATGCAAGTAATCCTGTTTGGTGGTTGACACCTCATCTTCAGGTATGCCTGGTGCTGTTCCTGACATGTCCTCCTGCACTCTCCATCGAATCAGGTTGAATCCCTGTCTTGATCGTAATTGTTGAGTGGGAGATATGCCGAGCCATGAGGTTACAGGTTGTGGAGTGCAATTCTGCTTTTGTTGATGGCCCACAGTGCCTCATGGATGCCCAGTCTCGAGCTGCCAGATCTGTTCGAAGTCTGTACCATTTAGCACGAAGATAGTGCCACATAACACGATGGAGGTTATTCTCAATGTGAAGGTGGGACTTTGTCTTCACAAGGTCTGTGTGGTGGTTGCTCTCACCGATACTGTCACGGACAGACGCATCCACAGCTAGCAGGTTGATAAGGAGGTAGTCAAGTATGTTTGCCCGCTTGTGGCTCCCTCACCACTTGCTGCAGACACAGTCTAGCAGCATGTCCTTTAGGACCCAACCAACTCCATCAGTAGCACTACTGCCCTAACCATCTACAGTGCTTCCTCCAAATATTGTTCAATGTGGAGAAGTACCAATTCATCAGCTGAAGGAGGACGTGACGTGGTAACCAACAGGAGGCTTCCTTGCCCATGTTTAACCTGAAGCCACAAGATTTCATGAGGTCTAGAGTCAATGTTGAGGAATCCCACAGCAACTCCTCCCAATTGTATATCATTGTGCCACCACCTCTGTCGGGTCTGTCCTGCCAGTGGGATAGGACATATCCAGGGATGGTGGTGCCTGAGACATTGTCTGTAATGTATGATTCCATGAGTATGACTATGTCAGGCTGCTGCTTGCTCTCCCAATTTTGGCCCTAGCCCCCAAATGTTAGTAAGGAGAACTTTGCAGGGTTGACAGGGCTGTTTCTGCCATTGTCTTTTCCAATGCCTAAGCTGATGCCTGATGATTCATCCGGTTTCATTTCTTCAAGACTTTGTAGCGATTGGTACAACTGAATGGCTTGGTAGGCCATTTCAGAGGGCAACTGAGAGTCAACTACACTGCCATGGGTCTGGAGTCACATGTAGACTAGATCAGGTGAGAATAGCAGATTTCCTTCCCTGAAGGACAGTGAACCAGACAGGCTTTTCCAACAATCGGCAATGATTTCATGGTCATCAGTAGGTTCTTAATTTTTTATTACATTCAAATTCCACCATCTGTCATGGCAGGATTCGAACCTGGGTCCCCAAAACAATAGCCGAATTTCTGGATTAATAGTCTAGCCAGGCCCTCGCCTTAAGTGGGTCCTTTGTCGAAAAGTTTTGTCACCTGGATAAAGCACTTAACAATAATGGGTTTTAATGCTATTACTTTGTAACGCAATTTAAATGCATTTGTCTAGACTGTTGAAAGTCCAGTAATAATACATAGAGAAGTAAATTATGCATTAACAGTTAAATCTTAATTTTGTTTATTTTACTGGTACATTTGCTTTAGAAACCAATGATAAATTCTTCTGTAAGCATCAGTTAGCTAGAGTCAGGAGACTGCAGATTCAAGCTTCGCTACAGACTCAAGCACACATGGTAATGTCTTAAGGGAATGCAACACTGGAGGTAATGCCCTTTCAGTTAACCAGAGAAACATCATCAGATGTACCTAAGGTTCCACAGAACTTCTAAAGTCAACCAGCTGTCATAATTGATCTGTCATCTAACAACTACAATAGTCACTGATCTAACTTGATGTTAGTGGCACCTTGAGGTGCACAAGCTGGCTGTTGTATTTATCTGTGTAACACTTCAGAAATATTATGCTGCATGTGAAGTGCTGTAACATATCCTGTTGTAAGATTCCCTTAACGATCAAAATCAGTCAAACATACTGAAGTACTTACTTGTACAGAGGAGTCTCCCATAATGAATTTGGCCCCTTCAATAATAGCCATATAGGAGAAACGCATTTGATCAGCTGTTTGAATGAGACCCATACGATATTTTCTCATTTCTAATAAAACTTCCTTAATATTCACAGACAAAGGATCTTTCCGCTTGTCCATCTGCCAATGAGTCATACATTGGGATTAAATCAAGGCAACCACAGTTCAGTTATACAGTTCCAATTAGTTTCATTTGAGCACTTTGGGATGAAGTATCCTTAATTCTTGTTACAGTTTGTCTATATAATAAGTGCACACACTCATACAAATGCACTGAAGAGTCAATGTGTCTGTGTGGTGAGGTGCAAGTGAAGAAAGTGAATGACCCGGTGGCCAATAGTTATACAATGTATATCTACAACATTGATCATTGTCCTATAAAGAATTTTAAAAAATTGAATAAGATTTTTTAGAATTTGATCCTTAGATATTTTCATCTATGTATTAACTGAATTGACAGCAAATCATGGTCTGGAATGTGGAGTGTGATAATGATGCTGGCCATAAAAGACAGCTTGCTTCAAGCCTGCTAGCATAACCTGTGGAACCTTAGTTGTAATTTTAGTTGTAAATACCAGGAGCAAATTAGTAGCAGTAAAAAGGTTGTAAATTTTAGGCTGTGCATCAATTTAACAAAAAAAAATGCTGTTTTCTCTACTAACAATTGATTGCTGGATTGATGGCCTTGTCACAGAAATATTTACTATGCAAAATATTGAGCTTGAGGCAACATTTTCTTCACAGGCTATTCAGAAATTAACACAAACGAATTTCCTTTAGTCAAGATGGGCTCTCAAACAGTAATTAATTTTTTTTAATGTGATTTGTACTCAAGTTGTTTTTCTCCTTATTTTCTGTCTGGTTTCTTTAGACTTTCTTGGTTGATGATCAGAAAAGTATGCGGCAGAATTGATTATAATGTGCAAATAGGTAATATGCTGTTTTGTCTTGAGAATTGTGTCCAGAAAGAAAAGTACGTAATTTAACAAACAAATTTCCTTCCACGTGCGCAGTCATAATCTGTCATTTCTTTGTTGAAAGGCAAAATTTTTAAACCAAACCCTGAATTCTGTCAGGGATCTATACAAAATATTAAAATTCACTTACCAGAAGGAGGCAAGTATCGACCAAAGAAAAGGTGCCAGATCGTCCTATCCCTGCACTGCAATGAACCATTATAGGTCCGTACTCTGGATTTAGTGAGCCAGATTCCCTCACTTTGAAAAGGAAGTTAAGGAATGAAGCAGGTGATTCTGGTACTCCAAAATCAGGCCATGTGGTATAATGAAAGTGCAATATTTCCCTGCTTTCTTTGGTCTAGATAGAGTGATAACAAAAGAATAAATGTCAGTGTACGTGATATGTTTTCTATAAAAATCTTTAAGCCCTTCATACATCTTCCAAAATACAATTTTTGTTTGGAATTTCAGTCATCTGAAATTCAATTGATGCTAACAGAACTTAGAAGGAACGAGGAACATCAGCAAGCTGACTAATATAAACTGGTGGTCTATCTTATGAAAACTTTTAGAAGTTAATAGATAATGCTTAATATATAAACCACAAGCTTCAGCTTAAATATTTTCAATGACATTAATCATTATAGTTTTGGAAATAATTGCAGTTAGGATGGAAATGAGAAATGAGAAATGATAAACGCAAGAAGTCACTTTTGGGGGTGGTGTATTGGCCCCTAACAGTAAACACATGGTAGGGTGGGGTATAAATAAATAAATAAGTAAATAAATAAGTAGATAGATAGATAAATAAATAAATAAAAAAACAGCCCCTCAAAAGGGCACAGTGCTAACTGGAATTGAAATTTTATTTTGCATTAGTCTTCACTATAAAAAGGTATAAGTAACATCACTGAGCAATGATAAATCAAGAAATAGAAGGGACGGAGGAACTCAGTAAAATCATAATCACAGAAGTGGTATGAGTAAATTGTTGATGCTGTGGATCAAGAGCACAGTTCATGATGGACTACATCCTCCTGCCTTAAAAAATGTAGCACGTTGATGCATTGGTTTTAGTTGTCAAAATTCCTCTGATTCAGGAATAGACCCATTAGATTGATGATACACAATGTAACTCCCCTATTTGGAAGGAAATCAGAAAGCAGAAAACTATAGACCAATTAGCTTAACATTTTATCTGAGGGAAAGTATTAGAAAATGTTATTTAAATTACTGCAGGGAACTTGAATAGACTCAAGTCAATCTAAACCTGGTTTTGTGAAGGAGAAATCATATTTGATCAATCGATTGGAGTTCTTTGAGCAGGCATGCACATGATGTGGATAAAGGTGAATCAAATGAAGTACTGTACAATACTTAGATCCCCAGAAAGCATTTGATAAAGTACCACAAAAAGTTATTATAGAAAGTAAAATCTCATAGAAGGTGTAACGTATTGGCATGGATAGTAGACTGGTTTGTTAACAGGAAGTAAAGGGTAAAAGTAAATATATGTCTTTTTCAGGTTGGCAACATGTAACAAATGGTGTGCCCAAGGGATCTGTGCTGGTGTTTTCCTGGTGGAAATCAGTATCCATGTTTGGGTTCTATATTTTGTCAGATAAAAAGAGAGTTCTAGTTCAAAGTCTGAAGTTCCCAAATTCAGTCTAAAGTACTTACTGCGAGGTTTTCCACTTCCAATTGCCGTACTGTATAGTATGATTTCACATCTTCAGAAATTAAAGTTAACTTGAATTTTGTGTCTGTGAACATCATTTCCCCTTCTTCTTTACTTGGCCAGTACTTTGCACATTTTACCTAGAATTGAAAGGAACTTTTTAAAAAATTGGCATTCATCTTGCACTAATGCGAGTGTTTTCTGCAACTAAAAGTGTACCAACTCTACTTATTATATTCCAAAAAGATATTCCTGTTACTGAAATAATATTTAATGAAGTTATTTCTGGCTAGATAGTAACTTTGTGGATTAATAGAAATAAAACATGCCTAAACTTTCTATCTAGTTACATCTTAAAACACACAAAAGTAGTAGCACAATAAAAGACAAAAGTTTCATAGAAGCACCTTGCTTTCTATTAAAATATAAAACATTATATTTAAAAAGGCATTTCTGAAGAAGGGTCCTAACCCAAAGCGTCAGCTTTCCTGTTTCTCTTATGCTGCCTGGCCTGCTATGTTCCTCCAGCTCCACACTTTGTTATCTCTGACTCCAGCATCTGCAGTTCTCGCTATCTCATATTTAAAAAGGCAATGGTTTTAATAATCAGCTTCACATTAAAAAGACGACAATTCTAACAGGATATACTGAAGAAATGTCACATTTGGTGAGAGATTAAGTAAATTTCACTGAGGTAAGAAAAAGGGAAAAATTCACTGAGGTAAGTAAAGCACTTGCGTTAGTTTTTCATGGATGAATAGGCTGTGAATCAAGTTAAGAACTGCTAATATTTAAAATCTGAATACCCTGTTTTAACTGACATAATTATACAAAATTTTGCTTCTTTTAAAAACAAAAAGTTTTACATATAGAACAAACTTAAAGCAAATACAATTAACACTAGAGCTTATACCGACATTACCCATGCCCTCGGGTGTATGTCTTTCTTTCTCCTAGAATGCGCTTATACATTACAGTCTCTTAAAGTATTGACTTCTATAGCAACCAACCATAAATACGCAGTAAAAACCGAAAGAACTGCGGATGCTGTAAATCAAGGACAAGAACAGAAGTTGCTGGAAAAGCTCAGCAGGTCTGGCAGCATCTGTGAAGAAAAAATCGTTAACACTTTGGGTCCAGTGGCCCTTCCTCAGAACCATAAATATGCCACAGTCATCTGAAAATTTTTTTTCTTAGTTCCAGCTGTCTCCATGTACTCTCTCATGACTGTGAATGCCTCAGCCCTGATTCTTGTTATTTTTCAATACTTCCAAGCTAATTCAGCTGGCTACTTTAAATTGCAAGACAACACTTGAGATTTACAAGAAATTCTCCCACCATCTCCAAACTAGGCAATTTCCAGCTTCCATTCCTTCAAGAATCAAACGGAGATGATGGCTGCCTTCCATGCAAAGAAATATAGTGGTCGGGGTTTTACTCAGCTTACGATGCAGGTGGAGAAATGGTGGCAAAATGGTAATATGACTGGATTGGTAATGCAGAACACCCAAGCTAATGGGTCTGGGGACATGTTTGAATCCCATCATGACAGATAATCAACTTTTTAGGGGTCTTGCAGCACAGTGGTAAGCATCCCTACCTCTAGACCAGAAAGTGTGGTTCAAGCCTCACTTGTTCTAGAGGACTTTTTAACATGTTTGAATAGGCTGATTAAAAATATCTAGAATTCAGGTTAACCCAATTATCAGTTTTTTTTTGTAAAAGAAAAGTCCTCTCTTGGTAAAGTGCAAACCAAATCAGTTCCAAAATGCAACTAACTCTTTCCACAAAAGCATTCAGATAAATAGTAACCAGAAAAATCTCAGTAAGCTCCACCCATCTCCATGATGAAGACATTTGCTATGGTTGTCCTCAAACTACCGCGAGTTTCATTACGCCTTATCTATAATTTCTTCTTTGATCCAGTGAGGTAACCTTTTAGGGTTTGCAATGTTTTAAAATGAATTTAGATCCAACTGCAGAACACAAGCACCCCTCTGGATTGCACTTCTTGCAAGTGTCAGAAACATCTTCACTCCAGCGTTTTAGGTGAATAAGCCCACTTACTGTCTTATAGCTCTTTATTCTCCAGCCTGACTTCAGTGGAACAAATATGGGTTACCTTTTGAAATGCTTTCTTTAAAAAAGTGTTCTGGCAATCTGTAAAAGGTCATCATTTAATTATCCTTACACTTACCACAATAATCTTCCCAGAGCTAAATATTTCTAAAATATAAACATGAACCACCAGCTAAAATTTTCACAACTAGTGAGATACTAGACAAGGAAGAACACCTCCTGGTTTTCCACTTGGGAACCCTGCAATCTTCTGGACTCCATATCAAGTTCAATTATTTTGGGGCCCCGAGCATCTCCTTACCCCAATCACCAGATAACAAGCCTTGTCATCACATGGGCTGTTACCACAAACAAGCCATTGTCAGCCACTAACTGCCCCCGTTAGCAGCTATTCATTCTCCCAGGCTGACCTTTACACATTCCTTAGTCTGCCCAACTGTGTCTCTTTGTCGGCTCTATCTCCGCCTGTCGTTTACTCTTTTCCCCCTCCCTTTCTGCAGTATTTGTACCAACCTTTTCCTAGTTACAACCAATTCTGAGAAGGGTCACTGAAGCTGAAACATTAACTCTCTTCTCTCCAGACACTGTCAGACCTGCCGAGTCTTTCCAGCAATTCCTGCTTTTTTTAAAACTAGACATGGAAGTTGGCAAGAACAGCAGATGGCCAACTGTGCAAAAGAAAACAAGTTGCAGAAAGTGAGGAAAAACGCCGTTGCAACTCAAGTACAAAAAAAGCACTAACCCCTGATGGCATAATTCCTGCATTGCTGAGAAATCAGTTTGGATCTGCTGACCATAATTTTTCAAATATTTGTATACCAAGCAGGTATCACAATTGATTATTACCAACGTAAGGGTACTGTGCCTTTGGGCCAGGAGACCTGGGCTCAAGTCCCAACTGCTCCAGAGGAGTGTTCTTTCATTTCTGAACAGGCTGATTAGAAAATATATAACACAGCGAAAGAAACATACCAGACAACTGTAGACAAGTAAGCCTTATACCAATATGAAGTACTTTTGTAGAGATCAAGATAAGGAATAGAATGGATGTTTTGGGAGCAACAGCTAATTAAAGCCAACAGACAGACAGTTAAAGTCCAACAAATTAAAACAAGTTTAGTACAATTCATTGATAAAGTAAATGCAGCAGTTGCGTAACCAAAACTATTTTGACAGTAATAGAAGGCTCTTAATATAACTAAGTTGCACATTACTACAGAACGTGGGAGCTTGCATTCGAAATGGTCCGAAGAACAAAGAAAATAGGGCAAATGGCATAAACAGTGGCGATCTCTCGGATTAATTTTAGTTCAATGAATAATTGCAACAAATGTTCTTAAACTTGGGGTATTGGGGGAAATACAAATTGCAGACAATACAAATGGAACTGTCTGGATTGCTCCACAGAAAGTAGGCATGGACTAGATCGTCTAAATGGCCCCCTTCTGTGCCAATGACTTTCCAAAAATAGATTTTATTTCAAACAGAGGTTGGAAAAGAACATTAAGACATTCCATCCGAAACAATGATTGATGCAAAGTGCTTAACAGCTTTTCTAGCCCACACGGCCTGACCATGTCCAAGACATAAATTAATATGATTTTTTAATACCAATAACTTTGAGGGACATGGATATATAGGGCATACGCCCCACAGACTGTTGGTTCATATCAAAAAGCGTTTGCCTTGCCCTGTTTTGCAACAAACAAGGTACTGACCGAACCCAACCAACACAAAATTGCATAGCTCAAGACTCAGTTGCTGACATTAGATTCTACAAATGGCTGCCATTTGCTAAATAATCCCAAGTATGAAGATAACTATACTAAAAGTATGATTGACAGGTTTGCAGTGTTTCATACTGAAAAGCTGCATGTATCAGCACAAATGGTCCTTTTCTTTGCAGACAGAATGCATACATGCATTGTATCAGTTTCAACTTAAAATAGGCAACAGCCATTATCTGTTTGATTCTTTAGGGCAATGTCTTGATAAATCAATGTCAACCTGCCTGATTTAAAATTAAGTAAAGCATGGCTGTTACCTGGCAGGCATCATCTAATGCTTTATTCATCATAACAATGCCTTTACCCATCAGGGTCTATTTGCCAGCCAATATATACACTTCTTATACAGTATAAAACATTGCCCTCCTTTATACAGATTAATCATGCGAATGTAATGATGAGAGCAAGATGAAAAGTTTTGATTTAATGTGTCTTTTTATTAGGCAATATGAAGTTCTGTACTTCCAAAAGACTATCTTCTGTGTCAAGGGAGGACAAATATTGATTACACAACTAAATTCTATAATCGTGGTCTAATAAAACAACAAGCTCTACAAAAGTAGCTAATTACTTTACTTATGATCCCGAGCTTTAATGAAAATTAATCACTGCTGTCATCATGATCTAATAGAATCACAGAATCCCTACAGTATGGAAACAGGCCCTTTGGCCCACAAGTCCACACCGACCCTGAATATCCCACCCAGACCCATCTCCAGACACTATGGGCAATTTAGCATGGCCAATCCACCTAGCCTGCACATCTTTAGATAAATTTGATTTACAATCCTAATTACTTTCAAATAAGACAAGAACTATTTCATGCCATTTTGACTACAGATAGACAGTTTCAACAGCTCTGCGCAATGACTCAGAAGGATGAATGGTAATATATTCAATTACTTACCGATCCCTTTTCGATCACTCTGTTGAGCATGACAACGCCCCGAGATTTCTGCTCCCAAACCATTTCCCAGAAATGACCACAAGTATTTGGAAGAGGACCCTGTAAACCCAAAGCAAACATTGATTAGGAACAAAAACAGAAATTGCTGGAAGAAACTCAGCAGGTCCGACAGCATCTGTGGAGAGAAAGCAGTTTTTTTTTAAAGAAATTAACATTAAACATTAATTTTGCATGCTGGCATGCAACACAAAATCTAGGAAAATTAAGTTATCCAAATCACAAAGTTGCTAACTTCTCACACAATTCTCTAGATTAGCGGGCTCCACCAGAGATTTGGAAGTTTCAACAGTACATTTCAGCTTGTCTAACAGGTTCATTTCACCTCGGTCAGAAACCATAGGTTGAAGGCCCACTCCAGAACATAAAATCCAGTCTGGCACATCAGCACAGTACTCAGTGGTGAGCTGCTTTTAAATGAGATATTTAATTGAAGATTTGCCTTCCCTTTAACGAGGACATAAAAGATCTAACATTCTATTCACTACTGATCTCATCATTCTAACAAGAGCAGAAGAGTTCATCCAGTGTCCTGGCCAGTACTTATCCATCAGTCAAGTTCACTATAAGAAGTGACCTGATTACATATCTCATTGTTGTTTGAAAAATCTTGCTGTGTTCAAGCTGGCTGTCACATTTTTCTACATTACAAACAGACCACTCTTCAAAAAGTAAAAACTGAAAGAACTGCGGATGCTGTAAATCAGGAACAAAAACAGAAGTTGCTGGAAAAGCTCAGCAAGTATGACAGCATCTGTGAAGAAAACGTCAGAGTTAACGTTTCGGACCCGGTGAACCTTCCTCAGAAATGATGGTAGCTGGAACAACATCTGCAGAAAATAGGGAGGGGAAGGGGGTAAGGAGTAAATGATAGGATAGAGCCCGGAGAGAAGAGCAATTGGATAGACAAAGGAATTGATAACAATCTGGCTAGGAGGGCAAATAGTTGTTAACGGGCACACTTAGTGACTACCAATTGGTAGAGACAGGCTATGTGATAACAAGCCTGGTGTGTGGGGTAGGGGGCTAGGACATGGGAGAGTTAGGCCCTAAAATTATCGAACTCTATATGGAGTGTGGAGGGCTGCAGGGTCCTCAAGCAGAAAATGAGGTGTTGCTCTTCCAAATTGCGTTGAGCTTCGCTGGAACACTGCAGCAAGCCAGAGACACAGATGTTGGCCAGGGAGAAGGTGATGTGTTAAAGTGGCAGGCAACAGATAACTCGGTCTTTTTTGCGAGCAGATCATAGATGTTCTGCAAAGCGGTCACCCAGTCTACATTTTGTTTCCCCAATGTAGAGAAGACCACATTGTGAGCAGTGAATGCAGTAGACTAGATTCTGGGAAGTGCAGGTGAAGTTTTACTTCATCTCAAAGGTATGCTTGGGCCCTTGGATAGTGGGGAGGGTGGAGGTAAATGGGCATGTGCTGCACCCTCGCCAGTTGCAGAAGAAGGTGCCATGGGGCTATGGGGGGCTGGGTGAATTAAGAGTGGACCAGGGTGTCCCGGAGGGAACAGTCCCTGCGGAAGGCGGACAAGGGAGGGGAGGGGATTACGTGTCTAGTGGTGGCATCTTGCTGGAGGTGGCGGAAATGACGTCTGATGATCTTCTGGATGTGGATGCTGGTGGGACGGTAGGTAAGGACAAGGGGAACCCTATCACTGTTGCAGAAGGGAAGAGAGGGGGTGGGGGCGGAAGTGCGGGAGATGAGTTGGACCCGGTTGAGGGCCCTGTTGACAACATTGCTGGGGAATCCTCGGTTGAGGAAGAAGGTGGACATTTCGGAGGCTCCCTTGTTAAAGTTGGTCTCATCTGAACATACGCGACGGAGACAGAGGAACTGAGAAAATGGGATGGAGTCTTTAACAGGAAACAGGACGCGAAGATGTATAGTCTTGGTAGCTGTGGGAGTCAGCGGGTTTATAGTGGATATTAGTGGCCAGTCTATGCCCAGAAATGGAAACAGAGATGTCGAAGAAGGGAAGGGAGGAGTCAGAGACAGACTGGGTGAAAAGGAGGGCAGGGTGAAAATTGATGAACTTTTCCAATTCCTGATGAGAGAAGGAACCAGCACCGATGACATCATCGATACATCGGAGAAACAGTTGTGGGTGGGGGCCAGAACAGGACTGGAACAAGGAATGTTCCACGTACCCCATGAAGAGACAGGCATAACTGGGGCCCATGCGGGTACCTATGGCCACCCCTTTGACCTGAAGAAAATGACAGGAGTTAAGAGAAGTTGTTGAGGGTGAGGATGAGTTCGGCCAAGCGGAAGAGGGTAGTGGTGGATGGGGACGGTTCAGGTATTTGCTCCAGGAAGAAGCAGAGAGCCCTAACACCCTCCTGGTAGGGAATGGACATGTAAAGTGATTGCACGCCCTTGGTAAAGAGGCAGCGGCTGGAACCTGCAAACTGGAAGTTTTGAAACTGGCATAAAAAGTGTCAGAGGGATCACGGATGCGCGTGGGCAGGGATTGGACCAGGGGAGAAGAATGCATCAAGGTAGGAAGAGATCAGTTCTGTGGGGCAGGAGCAGGCTGTAACGATGGGTCTGCCTGGACAGTCCTGTTTGTGGAATTTTGGAAGGAGGTGGAAGTGAGCTGTGCGGGGCTGGGGACTATCAGCTTGGAAACAGTGGTGGGGCAGGTCACCAGATGAAACGAGATCAGTTACGATCGTCGATACAATGGCTTGATGCATCATGGTGGGGTCATGGTCCAGGGGAAGATAGGAGGTGGTATCAGAGATGGCGCTCGGCCTCTACAATGTAGACGTCAGTATGCCAGACTACAACAACATCACCCTTATCAGCAGGCTTAATAACAAAGTCAGGGTTAGACCAAGTGCATGGAGTGCAGTCAGTTCGGAGGGAGATCGGTTGGATTGGGTGAGGGGGGCATAGAAATTGAGGTGGTCAACATCACGTCAACAGTTCTCAATGAACAGAACGACTGCAGGTAAAAGGCCAGAGGGAAAGGGTCCAGGTGGAAGGACAGCGTTGGAACAGGATGAAGGGGTCTCTTCAAAAAGTATTTATTAATTGGTATCAATGTGCTTTATGAAATTTTAAAGGTTGTGAAATGCACTATATAAATGCATTTCCCTTAAACTATGCTCAGAATAAGTTCGGAGGAGATGGGGGTCTTTGGCACAGTGGAAGTGTCCATACTCTGGGCTAGAAAGTCTAGTTGCAAATCCCATCTGCCCCGGTAGGTGGCAAAACTAGAAGCTGATAAACATAATTTTGCTGCATATTTATGGTTAGCGTTGGAATAAAGAGTGGAAGCTTGACTTTACTACATACAGGAGGAGTTTATAATGTTGTCACATGTTTCCAATTCACTTCTGCAAGAGTTAATGGCTTAGGTCATGATACAAAAATCAATGTGATTTAATGCAACATGAACTTCTAATGTCTAAATTATATTAGAGTTACAGGAAATTTAAAAGGCATACTTCATTGTTAAGAAAAACAAAAAGTTTTGAGTTAGTAACACGAAATATTGGAAACAGTTTGACAGCACAAATATCTGCCCATGTTTAATGTACAACTGCTACAAGTACACAATAACTACTTTCATAACAGGTGCCACTGAATTCCAAAAATTGAAATTACGTACTCTTTGCAAAATACAGATTCAGCTGTAGTCCGAAAAGAGTTTTGTAATTTATTTTTAGTTCTTTTCATTCGATAACATGGAGGTAAAGATGACAATAGGAAGAACATTTGACTTTTAAACCTTTGGTGATGTTTGTTGCAAGCCTCAAACATACAGGACCAAAGCTTCCGTGTTGCTGGAGAAAAGTATCAAATCAAATTAGTTTGGACAATATTAAATTTCATTGAACCACACGGGTATAAAAAGGTAAAATATTTAATTCTTCAGTCTCATCTTTCCTTAACTTGATGTCTTTAGTTATACTGAATGCTCTAAACCATATTTTAGGAATTAATGGGGACTTAACGCCAATAATATATTGGCAACAATGTAAAATAAAATTGATTTGTAGAACAAAAGAAATTTTCCTTTAGCTCTGTGTAGCACTTCAAATTGCTCACCTGAGTCAGAATGTAGCTCCTTTGTGCCTCTTCCATTTTAATCAAGCTTGCATTCACATAGTCATTATCACCTTGCTGTAGCTTAATTCGACTGTGATCAACTTCACGTTTAGAAAGAAAAATGATCAGTGGTGAGCATTACCTTTAGGTTATAGTTTTGACAAAACATGAATGGCCAGGACATACCAATCAAATTGCCAGTAACACAGGACACATGTATAAAAGTACAGTAACATTAAATAGGTCGATGAGTTTTTACTTCTTTGTCTGTGACAAGGCACAAACTGCATTCTTCAGAAGCAAGATGTCAACCAGAACAAATAGCATAAAATATCCAATAGGACTGGGGCAGTCCAGCTTAAAATAATCTGAAGCCTGTTACTGTTTTGTTGGACTGATGTCATAAATCAAAACTAAAACCAATTTTAACAAAGTTAACATAGGAAACCAAACCTTTCAGGCATTTATAAAATATTGCCAGTTTCATTATGCGTACAGCAGTAAAATAAACTAAAATGAGATGCAATCCATCTGAAGAGATCAAGAAACGTTTGGATAATTGATCACACTGCATATACTGCATTAGAATTAATTTAGTATAAAACTCATGATGAAGCATGCATACTTTTCTTTTTAAATAGTGTGTGGAATGGCTTTTCTTGAAAACAAAATACAATAAGTGAAATTCGGTAGTGCTTTTTTGCGCAGTAAAAATCAAATTTTGAAAGCTGGTTCATTACAATTGAGGGATTCACATCTCCATTTCAATTTCTAAAACAAATTCAAGATTACATTCAATGAGGGTGTTGCTGATTTGCTGTTGTAGCAAGGGTATAAAAAAAAATACATAATGCTTAATTTTTTTTCTAGGATGTGAAGTTTCATTTTAATTGACTTCTGTGTTTCCTGGCTCAAGGTCTTTTGTTACAATTATGACCTTCAAAAGATTGATGCATTTTGGGACTACATCTGTAAAATGAAATAAATGAAAGGAATCATGTGACCTGCTCTGATATTTGCTTGACAGCAAGACTGGTGGTTTGATTGCTGGAGATTAGAAGGTCCAAACCTGTTTACATTTGGAGACAATGGTAGCTAACAGTGGATAGGCTGAGAGTTGTGAAGTATCAGAAAAACGTTACGAATCTGGAGTTAGAAACAGCTGTGCTGCAAACTGTCCATTTAATTCCAAGATAATACAGGCCCTTGAATCAGGTACAGAAGTGATAAAAGCATTATGTGATTCATGTTAAAACAGTGTGGAGCTGGAGAAACACAGCAGGCCAGGCAGCATCAGAGCAGCAGGAAAGTTGATGTTTTGGGTTGGGACCCTTCTTCTTCAGAACTGTTGAAATAAATGAACTGTGACAGCACAACCCCAAGGAGACTAGGCCAGAGAAGGGAGGGAATCTGGGTTTACAGTAACCAGGGATATCAAGCTCTTCAAACAAGGGTATGCAAGTAAACATGAAATACAAGTCAAGGTTCATGGTATAAAATCATACAGCTGAAACATTTTCAAGGCTTATGGACACTAGCCCGATAGGGTTGTTTTTAAGTAATAATTTTTTATTATGTTCTTCTAATCAAACCATATACCCAATGTTCCTTTCTCAATTTTCCATTTAGATACAGCACTTAATGCTATAAATAAGGTCAATCATCATTTACATTGGAAATTTCTGTTAGGGTGGTGTTTTCAGTGTGCAATGATACACCTCTGGAGTAGGTGGGACTTGAACTCAAGGTAGGGATACTACCACTGCACCATAAGAGTACTAAGACTTAATTATTCACATACCCTTCAGACGCCAGAACCTATACAATAAGAGGAGAATTTTTAACTTCCAGGCACTAATGTATCTGGAATACATGCTTTGGCACTTTGTTGTAGTGGAATTTAGTTTCCTCCCAACTGTAATGGCCATGATGAAAAATGAGCTAGTTTAACGAATATTCATTTTGTTTTTTAGCAATTTATCCGGAAATAAATGAACTCTGATTACTTTAAACATCTTCAGTATGATCTTCATCTTCACAAGGTAGTATAACAGGCAAAACCATGGACACAACTTCAAGTTAGTGGCTGTCATTTTTGTTAAAATCATGGAGTGCATTCTTCAACACTAAAAATCACACTAGTTCTGGTAAAAATAATTAGTTAATGGTATAAGTGGCCCCAATTATGAGCAATGAGGTGCTCCAACATTTGCATATTTAGTGATTCAGTGCAGATATTTGTATTTTTCTCTTAAAAATGTGCACTGATTGTTCGATTTAAGGTCCTGAGGTCCTGCTCACTTTACATCAATTAATCAGTTATTTAGAGGTCAATTGGCACTTTGGAGAAAGGAGAAAAGTCCATCAACAATAGATCAAAATGAAACTGGAGTGAACAAATTCATTCTCTTAACATACTTTTGAATAGTAAAACGTGTTAAACGCCTTGGTTAGAATAAAAATGCAGTCAATGAATGGTTGACATTTAGAGCAACAGTTAAGTACAGCATTTAAAACTGGTATTTGTTAACCTTACCTTTACTTTTTCAATTAATATTCAATATTGGTACAGTGCTTCACATTGAGTGGATTCCTGTCCAGCAGGAAATTAACATGCAATACATACACACCTTTTATAGTAATCAAGACCCTTCCCTTTGTACTTACAGGGGCTGACATCTCTATATCTGTTCCGATTTTTATTTTCTGGAAGCTTGGCTACTTTACAAGGGAAGTCACTGGCTTGATGTCGGATTTCCTTGAATTGCAAAATGGGAAATTGTAAATGAGGCATGAACATTCCAGGGCTATTATATCCTAACACTATAACCAGCATGCACAATAGTACCAAGGAAACAGAATAAAACTCTCAAATTACTGCTCCTGGCAGTTACCTTATTAAAATAGTAATACAAACAGTACAACCATTTCATCAACAACCTTTCCCCACTTTTCCTCAAAAAACAAAATTTGATTGTAAATTATTTGAGGTACAATTGACATTACAGTGAACAGAGGTACTCTGTTAATTTAAACCAAGGTACTTCAGTCAAAAATGATTGACTTTGGGATCTGGAGTTTCAAAATACAAATGAAGTGAAACTGCCCATTGCAAAAATAGCAAGAACACATTTCGTATTAAAACTAAGCAATATTGATGGTTTTAAAAACAAATCAATTTGTTTTGCTTAATTACTAGTCAGGGTTAATTTAAAACCACAATCCAATATTATTCACATGAAAGGAGTGAACTTTCCCTGCATTTCATATGCTAATCTCTCTACATCTTCTTTTGACCCTTGTTCCAGGTCACTATGGTATTTATTTCTTCTCCTCTCCAGTCATACCCGTCATGGAAACGCTCTTTGCTTTCTGACACTTGCAATCCATCTGTTAAGATTTTTGTGGACACAACATCCTGATATTTCAAAACAAGCTCAACATACCTTCACATCTTCATCCACAGTATGCAAGAGACTTAGATTACCAATTAAAGCAGCAGATGCAATAAAAAAAGGAATTTCATACATTAGTGGAACCACATTGCTAAAGTGACCTGTCCTGTCAGTGATTTAACTACAGCAGTTATTTCTAGAAGTTGATCCAAATTCAATATTTACACTGTTCACCCAAAATCATCCAGATATGTTCATAAAAAGGTCTCAAAAACAAATTATGAAAATAACAAAAACTGTCTCTTTCAAAAAAGATACTGCAGTATAGAGGTGAAATCTGACTTTGTGATAAGCTTATAAGACAGCATATCACAAGAAGAAGTGATGCAGTGTTACATGATCTTGTTCTCTCAAGCTTGTGGCATGCTGATGCAATAGTAAGTTTCTTAAATAAAAAACTATATTTTCCTTACTCCAGTTATCTGTAAATGTTTTCAATATTTGCTGTTTAACAAGACTAAAAAATTTATAATCTAGTTAACAGTACTGTTTTACAGAAATATACTGGGGATGAAGGCAGAGCAGGCAAAATTGGAACGATATACTTCATTTTCAGACTCACTTGAATCTTAGTCTCTATTCTGCAAATTGGTGAGAAATGTCAAGTAAATAAATTACAAATTAGTCCAGAAATGTGTTAGCAAGCAATACTAAACTGTTTCTGTTCTTCAAATCCTCTTGTCTTTCTTCAGAATCATCTGCTGAAACACATACCCAGTCCAAAATACCACAAATTAATTGCAGCATGTCATTCACTATACAGTTAGGAAGGAGCATTGTAAGCGTTGGACTGCAGCAGAATGAGACAAAGACTGAGCGAGTTACTGCTTATGTTGTTGGAAATTTGGTTCAAAGTGGAAATTTTGTGCAAAGGCAGACATTGGTGCTTTAACTAAAGGTTCACTACAAGAAGTAGACACTCCAGAGTGAGGTAAGTGGGAGAGGATAAAAGGCTTAGACCAAAAGGCCTACCTGCAGTGAGAACAGCTGTGATGTGAGCTCGGAAACCAGAGTGATGCTAATGCAGGGAATGAAGCTGACTGGTGAATAGGATTGGTGAACACTTCTAAACTTGTAAAAGTAAAAGTACGGTCTTCAGTTTGTTTGTGGAAACTGCTAGACACCAATGTGACCCAGAGTGAACACATCTGTGCTAAGCATTTGCAGCTTGAGGAACTTTGGATCAGAATTGAGGAGCAAGATTTGCAGACGTTGCACCGCACCAGGGATGGGGAGCAAGTTACTTGGGCACTAACAGGCCAACCTTTACCAGCAGGGAATTTGAATATTTTGTAAAGTCGAATGGCATTTTACATATAAAGGACAGCTCCATATTATCCGTCATCCAATGGTCCAGTAGAAAGGACAATCCATACTTTGAAAGCAGGCTCAAAGAAACAGCCGACATCTTCACTAGTTACCAAACTATTTGATTATTTCCTATTTGATTATTGGACCATCCCTCATGCAACTACACAGATAGCTCCAGCAGAGTTGCTAATGGGGAGAAAACCTGATCTTACCTGCCCTGGGAGGGGGTGGGTGGGGAGGGTAAAATGGCATCAGGAACACCAATGCTGGACACAAGACTCTGATAAGTGAAAGAGGCAATTTACTTCAGGGGATGAACTTTGGAGCAGGAACCACAGAAATGGCCCTGCATTCTGGTCAGTGCGAGCTCAGGTCCAGTGACGTATCAAGTTTGGGTAGGTGCGACAGTTCTGAACAAGCACGTGGACCATTGGAAACTTGCAAATGGTGTGGAAGCAAAATGTGCCCGGCTCCTTCACTGCCTTTCTGACCATTCTGGAACCCATGGGTCCTCCCTCTCCATCAAGCATTGAAGATACCTCAGAATCTGAGATGGACATGGCAGATGTTGCTGACTCTATGCTTTTGCTGCCCAAAATTAGAATGGATTTCTTTTGGAGATATTCCGGATGCAAGAGGCAACTTACTGTGCGTTACACGCTGCCCATATCGGAGACAGAGTTGGAGGAACCTGACCTGGTGCTAAAACGACCCAGGAGCAGCTACAAAAATAAAAGAACCAGCCTATGTCCCAGACTCAGTAGGTCAGTGAGGTGTACCTCATTGAATGAGTTCCCTGATTAGATCAGATTAAAAGCCCCAATCAGGGAGTCCTCGTTGACAGATATAAACAGGAGTGTTAGAGGTTCTGTTCACTGAGAGCTGGCTCTGAGGAAGCCAGACCAGTGTCAAGGCCGTTCCTTAAGTAAATAAAAGGTGACTTGGTGATGGGATACCAGTCTCTGTGGAGTTATTTCAGTCACCACTGTCATAATGTCACAACAACTTGCAGTTATAGTACATTCAACTGAGTAAAATAGTCAAAGGCAGTGCTCAAAGAGGCTAAGTCACCCAAATCAGATGGGGGACACCTTGTGTTGTGGAGGGAAGCAAGAGTTCCATGCTTCTTAGACACAGTGGTGGTGCTAAAAGACTGGAGGATTCCAAATGTTACATTTTGTTCAAATAAAAGGAAGAACAAACCTGGCAATTACAAAGTGCCTAGCCTAATGTTAAGTTTTTATAAGTCATAATTTAACAGGAAGTCATCAGTTACTTGAATAAGCATCTAAAGGAGATCCAGTGTAAACTGATAAAGGTAATCACATTCAATGAACTGGAATGAAAATTTAATCAAGTTTTTAGATGAAATCACAGAGATGATTCAGGACATGGTGAAGTCACAGAGTTCCAGAAGGTGTCCAAGTACAGGGAGTGCACAGCCAACACTGTCTACTTTCATGTCGTTTCGTTTTAACATTGCTAAGTTGTTAGTACTGGAAATCTTATTGAACATTGCAAGATTAATTTTAACATAGCCTATTGCAGCACTGTATCTTAACTGGCCTGACTGGTGTCACATTGACATGAATCTTTGACTTAAGGCCACTCCCACAAATCCAACTTGCTGCCTCTGCCTGTACGCATAGTTGCCTGAAGCCTCCAAGCAGCCCACTCACTGGTGCAGCTGCCTGCACCCGGCTATGCCACATCCCAAAGCATCCCCTTGCTGCTGTTCATCTGGCATAGGTACATCCAGAGTATTGTTAGAAAGGAGTTCCAGAATTCTGACCCAGTGACAGTGAAGAAGCAGCATTACAGTCCCAAGTCAGACTGGTGTGCGGCATGGAGGGGATTCTCCTGGTAATTTTTCCATATACCTTCTGCCCTCGTTCTTATAGATGGTAGAGATTGTGGGTTTCAAAGATGCTGATAAAGGAGCATGGGTGAGTTGTCACAGTGCATCTTATAGGTAGCATGTACATTTGGCCATTGTACATTGGTACTGGAGGGAATGAAAGCTTAAGGACATGGATTGGGTGCCAATCAAAAGGGCTGTTCTGTTTTGAATAGTATTGAGCTCAAGCGTTGTTGAAGCTGAATCTATCCAGTCTTGAGGACAGTATTCCATTACATTTCTCCCCTGTAGATGGTGGAGTTATGAGCGTAGTTACTCACTGTAGAATTCATACTTTGACTTGCTATTGTAGCCATTTTTCTAGAAATTTCTAGCATGTTGACAGTGGAGGATTCAGAGTTGACAATATCATTGAATATAAAAGGGGAGATGGGTATATTTTCTCTTGTTGGAGATGGTCACTGCCTGGCACATATGTTATTAAATGGCAAGTAAGCTATTCCTGAATGTTGTTCAGGTCTTGCTGCATATTGATAGACTGCTTCCACAGTCTAGGAATTGTGAATGGTGCTGAACATGGTGCAATCATCACCCGCACTTCTGACCTAATGCCAGAGGGAAGATTATTGAAGCAGCCGAAGATGGGGCTCAGGTCACTACCCTGAAGAACCCTTACACATTGTTCAGGCTTTGTCTATGCTTGAATGATTGCAATTCCATCCTGGAGCAGTTTTTAATATCCTCTGCAATTAAGCAAACTGTGAGATACTACCTAAAAAAAAAGCAATCCTGCTCAAAACACACAGTCCAATGAGATATTTAAGCACAAGGCCATCTGACCCATCAGGGGAACATAAATGAACTCATGGCACTCGAACAGCATGGGTTTTCCCAGCCCTGGTTAAAAAACAATATCATTTATTGCATTCAAAAACAGAAATTGCTGGAAAAACTCAGGTCTGGCAGCATCTCTGGAAAGAAATCATGTTCGGGAGTTCTGTTGAGTTTTCCCAGCAATTTCATTTTTGTTTCCGATTTCCAGTATCTGCAGTTGTTTTTTTTAAAAATTTCATTGCTCTTTGTAGTATCTTGCTATGCATCGAAAAGCACATATCCTATTACAGTGACTAGACTTCCAA